TGTCGTCTCGGATCAGTTCGGGTGGGTTCGGTCGCTGAGAATGACGTTTGTATGATGTGTGGATTGATGTTAGGTACACGCCTCAGCAGGAGAGGGTGGTGAGAGCTCAGTCTTTCCAGGATAAGACCCAACTTAATATGATGATCGGTCGTCGTACATTAGAACTCAATCCGGATCATCCGGTTATCAAGGACCTCCTCGTGAAGGTATGGTTAACCGCTCTCTAATTTATAACCTCATCATCTCGTTGTAGGTTAACGAGGACAAGGCGGATACAAACGCTGAAGATACTGCTGTTGTACTTTTCCAAGCGGCAATGCTCGACTCTGGATACGAGATTCTCGATCCTCATACGCTTGTGAAGAAGGTGATCGATGGTTGATATTCTCGTGGCGCCTATTTACTCTGCTGTACAGGTGTACTCTCTCATGAGTCAGTCGCTCGGCGTTGATCCCAACACCCCTGTGGCCGAAGTACGATGTGAATCAGTATGGTTGTTAGGGAGTATTGTTGGTGCAGGTGGAAGTACCCGAGGATGAAGAGGAGGTCGAGGAGCCGCCAGCTGAGGAGGAAAGTGACGACTCTACAACTATAGGAGAAGAGGAAGAACTCGAACCTGACAACGAAATGTCGAAGGTAAATCGAGGAGGCTATCATGATGTTTCGATTGACTTGGTGTTCGTTAGGAGTCGGAGGACGAAGAATTGTAAGTTTGTGGAGAATGATATGAGCGTGATGTCACCCTTATAAGTAAAGACCGTTTTGGGCAGCTGTAACTCTGTCCACCAGGGTTCAACGCAGGACGGCGTTTTTCAGTTGGATGGTGTAGCGTTCAGTGGGTTGAATGGTATATATCTACGGCAAATTATATGCATGTGGTGTCTAAACCGCAACTCCTCAGCCAAACGCCTGTGAAAGATGGAAGTATTCACAATAGACTCGCAGTTCTTCCCTAGAGGTAGCCACAATTGCGAAAATAACTTGCGGTAAGAAGTCTTTTAAGTGTAGTCGTCGAGTATATCATGTTCCTTTCCTCAATGGTATGTGGATAAAAGGTATGAAGGAACTGTCAAAAGGAGTATCAACTCATGTTCGAAGAATTTGCTCCAAACTTGCTGGTGATACACATGCAATTGAACCATTATAACGTTATGAGCTCGGCTCCCCGTTCGGAACGGGCAGCCAAACTTAAAACGTTGTCTGAGAAACGGTGATTGATTATGATGGTAACATAATTGGCCTAGATAGTGCTGTACGAGAAATCTAAGTAAATTCTTGATCGTCCCTTGTACATCGTGAACTGTCATCCAGATCGTTGGACACTGCTGTTAAGATGGTAAGCATGGCAATAATCTCTCCACAAAACTAACCTGGCCAATTCAAATAAGAGCGCAAAATCATGTCATCGAGCCATGCATGAGTGGTCAGGAACGCACTGCTGTCGGACAGCGTGCTGCGATTTTTTTGTACGAGGGACGTCTTCTGTTGCCGAGATATGATCCTGTTTTCTGCCACCCGGAATTTCACTTGCCCTTCCACGTGTATGCTTGAGACGCGGATATCGGATGTATCTAATCTCTTTCATCGGCACAATCTGTGACGTGCGTCTGTCCC